ACCAGTCCTTACGGCCGGGTCGCACCCCCGCCCCAGAAGAGGAAAGTCCATTCCAACATGGAGTGCCCCATGCAAAAAAATAGCCCAGAGGGATGGTGCTTTCAGAAAGCTTGAGAAACACTGACTTACAGGAAAACAAGTACACAAAGGACATCTGAACACCAAAAACATGCAGATGACAACAAAAAGGTGTGATGGCACTCATCAAGTTAAACAACTTGATTGTGAAGTTCAGCTTGAATGAGACTATGAGGGATGACACAAATGAATATTGTGGCAGAAGAAATGGACCTATGAGTATTCATCTGAAGCCTTTATCATGGTTTTGTTTCTTATTTGGATAGCCTACTTATTGCTATAAACTTATTGCTATATTATACCAATGATAAAGGATAAAAGGAAAAAAAAACAAAACCCTTCAATTTGCATCTCTGGCTCAAATTCTAAAGTGAACAACTCCCTGTAAAGTGGAGGAAAAATGAAGTCGTACAATGTCTGGGTATATTGCTTTAAATGCCATAAGCTTTTCTGTATGTCATCTACCCAGTGTTCTTAAAGTAGACACTTTGCATATTAATGTAAAAAATGAACTGAGGTCATACAGTCATATATGGAACCAGGGCACTCAGTCTTGCTGTTAGGATTAACCCTTTCCCAAACACTTTGAGTTCAGTTGTTTACTGTCATGGAGGTCTGTTATATTGGATTAAAAAAAAAAAAAAAAGAGAGAAAAATAAAAGAGGAAACTAGATAGATAGATAGATAGATAGATAGATAGATAGATAGATAGATATTTTTAACATCACAGAACTTTTCAATTTTTGAAAAATTACGTGAAGATACTTCAGATTAGCATAATACTATGTAGTATCTCTTTTCCCTAGCCGTGAGTGTTTGGAAGAACTGATCATAAAAAAAAAGCTGTGTGGGCAACTTCTCACGGAAGACTGAAAAACAAGGCTAGTTTGGATATTGCATGTTGTAACAACTTGATTGTCGTGCAGGCAGAGATTTCACAAGGACTAAGGCACACATGTTGTAGAACTGAAATAGTATTCTGTGTGACAAATGTTGTGTAGGAGAAATGGGATAAAAACCTTTAAAATAATAACTATTCATGAAGTTCAATTTGAATACACTTCTTTTCACACCATCATCAACCTCGTTCCCTAGTATCTTCATCTCACCTCTTCTAGTTTTTAGTAAATAGTTTCAGCTAAGCACCTTGGTTTTGAACAGAGAATTCTGGGTTTGTAAATAACAAGTTAACTGCATAAAAGCTCTTACACCATAATTAGGATACCCTTCATAGGAAAACATACTTTCACGGTCACATGTGTGGGAGGCATCAGCCTGCCAGCCCTGCACAGCCCCTGAGCAGCAGCAAGGCTTTGATGAGAAACAGGCCTTGGGAGAAAGATCAGAAGCTGCCGAGTTGTTCCCAGGTGTCAGGGATAAACAAGGGACGGCTGCAACCCTGAGCTCTGGGAAAGTCCTGACCTGTGAGAAGTTCCCGCCGCGTGAACAGCGCCTGGGCGAGCAGGGGATTGGTCTGCACAGCGTGTGAGAGTGGTCTAGTGCTGGTAGGAGAGAAGGTTGAGAGCTGCCCAATTGCTGATTTGTAATTGTGAAGTAAGAGCTCTGGTGACAGCATAAGTAGGTACTGTTGGAAAAAATAAGCGGCTTTGCTTGTTCTAACTCAGAGTTGTGCAGGTCCGATATCCTCCCGCAACACCCTGAGTGTGACCATTCTTACCTTTGTTAGAATTCCATCTTCTTGGTGGTTCTTCTGTAGGACATGCTGCAGTGCTAGCTGGATCTTCTGTTGGAGATTTTCAATTTCTACTTTCTCCTGAAGCCATGAGCGATCTAAAGATAAACGGAGTTTACACCTTTAGCACTGCACTCATCGATCACAGTGCACCAGGAAGGACTGAGTCCGTGACAGAGTCATCTTTCTTGTTTGCAACTTGCCTGCCACTTCTTATACTCTCATATAGAAAAGGAGTGTCAAAATGAATAGGCTTTGGAGTATATTCTTACATGCATTTAAATTTAAGAAAGCCCATAATGAGCAGAGTGCAGCATATCTGAGGGAGATTTATTAATCATTTGC